GACCCCCTAAACCCTAAACCCCTAAACCCCTAAACGCCTAAACCCTAAACCCTAAACCCTGAACCCTGAACCCCTAGACCCCTAAACCCCTAAACCCTAAACCTTGAACCCTGAGCCCCTAAACCCCTAAACCCTAAACCCTGAACCTCTAAACCCTAAACACTAAACCCAAAACCCTGAACCCCTAAACCCTAAACCCTGAACCCTGAACCCCTAGACCCCCTAAACCCCTAAACCCTAAACCCTGAACCCTGGGCCCCTAAACCCCTAAACCCTAAACCCTGAACCTCTAAACCCTAAACACTAAACCCAAAACCCGTAACCCCTAAACCCCTAAACCCTAAACCCTAAACCCTAAACCCTAAACCCCTGAACCCCTGAACCCCTAAACCCGAACCCTGAACCCCTAAACCCGGGCAGAGCCGACGAGCCGCCTGACAGAGGATGGGGACCTCCTGCTTCGACAGCTTCAGGTTCAACTTCCTGAGCTGCTGCTTTTAGGGTTTAGGGTTTAGGGTTTAGGGTTTAGGGTTTAGGGTTTAGGGTTTAGTTTTGCCCCTCTAATAAGGGCTCTAAGGCTTCCAAAGAAGGGATCCTATAAGGCTTCCTTTCAGGGCCCTATCAGGGCTTATAAGAGGCCTAGGGAGTCGGGGTTTAGATTAGGGTTTAGGGTTGTTTGGGGTTCAGGCTTTTTGGGGGTTGAGGGAGACGGTCTGGTGGTGTGTGGGGCTCAGGGTTTAGGCAGTTTGAGGACTCGGGTTAACCTTCCTGAATTCATGATTTTAAGTAGGGCTGTCTGTATAAGGGTTCTACAGTGGCTTTTAGGGAGTCCTATGTCTTCGGGGGAACTTTAGGATGCCATGACAGCTTATGTAGGTGCGTTTATTGGGCGCTGAAATGCACTTTAGGTTTTCAGACTATGGGTTTTGCAAAGCTTAAAACGGAGCTAATGATGGTTGTGTGAGGCTTCTCGTAGCCAGCGTTCGCATGGTTTAAAGAACCTGAAGTAAGATACCCAGAGAGGTCAGTGCCCCTTAAATAAGGAATATACCTCTCTGGGTACCGTTGCAAGACTTTGCAGGGCTGCTGTTCGCCTTTTGCACGGGCGCTACAACGGGGGGTTTCCGTTTCCTTTAACAAGGACCCAGCTTCGTGGTGGCCGTGACCTTGATCAGGAAGACCTCTTGGCTGGAGGTTGTGAGGAGTTGGGGGGCCATGGGGTTTTAGGGTTGAGGATTTGTGGAAATTTCTGAGGATTTTAGGTGATCCTGGGGTGCAAGATTTCGAGGTGGGGATCGTTGGGCTTTTGACTCATCACCTCGGGCTGCGATTCAAGAAAGGTCCTTTCGGAAGCGTCTCGGCAACCCTAAACCCTGAAACCTAAACCCTACACCCAATGAACCCTACAAGCCCTGAAACATAAAACCTTAAACCCTAAACCTTACAACCTCCTAAACCCTAAACACCCTTCAGGCCCTAAACCCCTTTGGAGCCCGAAACCACAAAATCTCAAAACCCCAACCCTCACCGATTGTTACCTCTGAAACGAAGCGCTGAAACTCGTGAACCGAAGCATGTTCTCTACCCTGCTCCCCAAACTCTAAACCTCTCTCATGGCTCCAAAACCCTAAACCCTAAACCCTAAACCAACCTCAGAATATCTTTGTTGGTGTCTGCTGCCGGCGGCTCGGGACGGAAGAGCCCGGCTCTAAAGAGGGGCCGGAAAGGGATCAGCTAAGGGCCCTTGGGCGTTTACTAGCTTAGAGTAAGCCCCAAAAAAAGGCGGTGAAAAGGATGAAGACAATCAGTGCCGGGAGTCCCGAATATAGGGGCCTTCATAATTAGAATAGGTTTTGGTGCCCAGTATATTATAATTGCCATAAGGACCCCCCAAGATAGTATAGGTAATTATTAAGGCCCCTATACCCTAAACCCTAAACCCTAAACCTTATGCATGATTCTTATGGATTGAGGCTGTTGGGCTTCTACCCTACGGGTTTTTTGACGTCCTTCCAGCCGAGTCTAGGACTTCAAGGCTTCAACCCTAATATCGGGGGGGACCTAAAGTAGGAGTTTAGGGTTTAGGGCTTAAGATTATTCCGACCGCTATATTACCGCTTGTGCAACCTTGAAAGCATGCAGGGTGTGAGGCGTCCTCCTCCTGCAACTTCTTCACCAAGTCTGAGTCGTCCCTGTGGGTAAACTTGAGCATGTCCATCCTAAGTGTCAGGGTCACTGCTTCGTTTCGGCTTTGAGATTCACCTGCACTGAGGATTTCGAATTTGGGTAGTTCTCTAAATTAGGGTCCCCTTCTAGTGTCCTTCTTATAAGGCTGTGCCGTACTATATTAGGGACCTAAACACGGACCCTAATTTAGAGAACTACCCACTTTGTAGCTTGCATTAAGGGTGCAGCGTTTAGGGCCCTTTTTGGGCTTCGGATTTCGCCTTTTGGGCGTGGCAAGGTTACAGTTCACCGTGCACACTACGATCTTTGTACATGAACCTCGGAAAACATCGGCTACATCTTATATATGCATGTAAAAAGCCTTGCAAGTCTGGGCAAGCCAGGAGGCCTCAGCCCTGGAACCCGAAAGACGTGTAGAAACCCAGAAACGGAATCCTTCGGCCCCCTCGGTTCGGCTAAGCAGCTGGCTTGAAAAGAGCACGGGGGGCAGAGGCACGTCCCCAGCAAAAGTCTCCCGAAGATTCGCCCACTCCTCTCGGCTCTGAGGGGTTTCATGAAGAGTTCGAACTCTCGGCATGAGGCTGGGTGAACGGTTCTACTTGGAGGATCATGGGACTTAGTAACTAGGGTTATAAATAGGGTAGCTATAATTATAGCCCCAATTAACCTACTTATAACCTTACTTACTAAGTCCAATGATCCTCCAAGTAGGGCTTTACTGAAGGGCTTTCGGGTTTAAGAATTGGGGCTATGATTATAGTTACCCTATTTATAACCCTAGTTACTAAGTCCCATGATCCTCCAAGTAGAACCTTTACTTAAGGGCTTTCGGGTTTAAGGATTGGGATTTCGGGCCGAGGCTTTTGGTGCTGCACAAAGAAGCTTTCTGAAGTGCCGTGCAGAATATATGGGAATGAAACCCTAAACCCTAAACCCTAAACCCTAAACCCTAAACCCTAAACCCTAAACCTAATGTGCTGTGTTGATATTGATGTAGGAACCTGATTAGAAGCCCTGGCCCTGCAACCCCAAGTTTAGGGTTTAGGGTTTAGGGTTTAGGGTTTAGGGTTTAGGGTTTAGGGTTAAAGAACCCCAAATAAGGGCCCAGGGTTTCTTAATCAGGCTCCTACATTAGGCACCCTACTACTACGGCTTCTATGCTATGTCCTTAGCAATCGGGGCTCATGCTGCGAGGGCTCGGGGGTAGTCCCTGTGGCAAATCGAAGAAGCAGCTGAAAGCCGACAGTAGTAAAGGAATAACTGTTACTGAACTTAGACCCCCAGCAAAAATTATAATTCTAGCTGCTTCTTAGGGTTTATAGTAGCCAAAGATTAAAAATTATTTCTAAGTGCCCCTAAGGTAATAATGATCGTCACAGTGATGACAATAAGAAGAAGAATGGTAACATAAACACAAACCCTAAAACCCTAAACCCTAAACAGCTGTCTGGATACCTCGAACGCCTCCTCCAAGCCCTGCTCGAAGAATCAGGGGACTAAGCAAGTAAAAGGAAGAGCAGGGTACTACGCCCAATCGAGGTACTTGCAGCTCCACTCACTCAGTCCCCTGATCCTCCAAGTACACCGCAATGCCTCTAGATGTTGTGGAAAACTGCTCCGAGAGTGTACGGCCCCTCGTCCGGCTTCCCGAACCTTGAACCCTCCAAAGCATCCGCAAACAACCCGATACTCTTTTACGAAGCCTTGTTGCGGTACCCCTAAAGTCAAGCCCTATAGAACCTGCTAGAAACACCCCTTATTCTGGCCGAATCCCTCTAAAACTCTTATCAAGCCCGAGAAACAGCCTTGAGGTAACAGGTAAACCTGCCAAGGGCTTTTGCTCCTTCTCTGCTTGGCACCACCCACGCTCGGAGTAGGGCACATTGTTTGCAGTGAGCTCCGACATGGGTACCTCCACCACACCTGCACACTCTCAGGGGGGATGAGGATTGCAAAAGTGCGGTGGGACGTTGCCTAAGTCATATGAAACCATATGAAGTTACAGTATCCGTGGCTGGTGCCCCGTCAGGCGAACCCCAAATACACTCAATAGTATCTTAAGCAGTCCTGAACACGGGGTTTAGGGTTCAGGGTTTAGGCCTCACCAAGACCCTCTGAGACAACAAAACTGACATCAGGTTCCCTCCCGAGCTTGGCACATGGACCCCCGCCTTGGTGGCTGTCTTTGTAGACGCTGATCTTGGGCCGCACCCGCTCCACCTCCAAAGCTCCTAATCCCTAGGCCCAAGCCCCGAACCCTGTAAGAACCCTTTAGCAACCCTAGGCCCTAATAAAAAGTCTTGAAGAAACCAGTGTCAGGACCCTTCTGGAGCCTTGTAGGACTAGGGTTTAGGGCTTAGGGTTTAGGGGGTTTAGGGTTTAGGGTATAGGGTATAGGGTTTAGGGTTTAGGGTTTAGGGTATAGGGTTTTGGGGCTTGGGGCTTAGGGAAGCCCACCAGGAAATCCAAAGTGGACCTCGGCCTTCCTCTCTGCCGGCGTCAGCTTGCTGAGGATCTCTACTCGGACTACCTGGGAGCTTGGAGAGACAACGGGAGCCCTTCCATGGGATACGGCAAAGTTTAGGGTTTAGGGTTTAGGGTTTAGGGTTTAGGGTTTAGGGTTATGATTTAAATCCTGTATGAAGGAAGCTACCATAAGTCCCGTAGCTTAGAGTCCTCAAGGTAATGCAGGATTTATATCATCAACAGTAGTTAAGAGTTGATAATCATCACGGGACGATAAGAACGACCACAAAAGTCTAAGTACTAATAGCCAGCACAACACTGATAGCAACCGTAGTAGTAACAATCATAAAGCTGAATAACAAGACATTATAATCGTAGCAGTTGCGCTCATGATTAGGAACCTGAAGACCTGAAACGGGACCCCAATCGCACAACAGCCAAAGAGATCCCCAAGCATGCAGAACGCCCACCTCGTGGGCGTAGACAATATGCATGGCCTCCAGCGCTCGCTTGAAATTCATCTGCTGGACTTCATCGCGCTTGTATTGATAAAGCGACACGTAGTCGATAAACAGCCAGACCTGGCTAGGCCACTGGGCACTCTTTGACGGGAGGGTTTAGGGTTTAGGGTTCAGGGTTTAGGGTTTAGGGTTAATTAAGGGTTTAGGGTTTAGAAATCCACTTAAAGGATTAGCGGACTTCGTACGTAGATTCTAAGCGTGAGCTGACGTACTAGTTCCCCTGGTCCTCCAAGACAAGTTTTAGGGTTTGGGGTCTATGAACAGTCGCGCCGGTGCTGCTTGTGCCGCGTACCCTTTCACACTGTGAGGCCGCAGTGTGCTCATCAACCCCGCATCAAAAACCCAAACCGGCCTTATTAACTGTCAAAACCGGCACAATCGCCTCATCGCCTGAACCCTGAAATGCCAAGCCCCAAGCCCCGAAACCCCGAAACCCCCTCAAAACCTCCCACACCGCCCCTAGAACAAAAAAAAAGATAAAAAGGGAGCCCCTTTACTTTTCAGCCTGTGCAGAAAAGCCGTATAACAACATCTACAAAGCCCTGCACAGAAGCCCTACCCCAAACCCTAAACCCCAAGCCCTACCTACCAAAACTTCCCCCTAAACCCCTAAACCCCTAAACCCCTAAACCTCTAAACCCCTAAACCCCCAAACCCCTAAATCCTAAACCCCTTAACCCCTAAACCCCTAAACCCCCAAACCCCTAAATCCTAAACCCCTTAACCCCCAACCCCTAAACCCCAAACCCTTAAACCCCTAAACCCCAAAGCCCCTAAACCCCCAAACCCCTAAATCCTAAACCCCTTAACCCCAAAACCCCTAAACCCCAAACCCCACCAAACCCCTTAAACCCTAACCCCTAAACC